ATATTTGTCCTTTTGTGATTGACTTATTTCACTCAGCATAATGTCCTCCAGTTTCATCCATGTTATGAGATGCTTCACAGATTCATCATTGTTCTTTATTGTTGTGTAATACTCCATTGTGTGTAGGTACCATAGTTTATCCATTCTTCTGTTGATGGGCATCTAGGTTGTTTCCATCTTTTTGCTGTTGTGAACAATGCTGCAATGAACATGGGTGTACATATGTGTGAGGACTTTTCTAACAGTGAGTCAGGGTGATTCTGAGATGTATAGTAAAATTTTCTCCAATCATGAGGTCAATTTTTATTTTGTTCGGTTTTTGTATTGAACCTTTCTTGGCAACATAAAAGATTTACCTCTTTGCTTTTTGTTATTGTTAAACTATAAGTGTGCTAAAATTATAAATTTAAAATGAGGTTGATTAGCATCTTTTTCAGCTGCAGGGGGTCTTCTGGCCTTTCCAAAGAGTCTCTTCACCAGCCCTTCGAACTGGTTCCTTTTGGTTCCACCCCCGCTGAGAATTTTCCTTTCCACCTCAGATATACTGAATCAGAATCTACATTTTAACAAGATCGCCAGGTGATTCTTATAGACCCCTAGGTGATTCTTAAGTATACATAAGAATCACCTGGCGATCTTGTTAAAATGTAGATTCTGATTCAGTATATCTGGGGTAGAAAGGAAGATTCTCAGCGGGGGTCTAACCAAACTGGTTTGGAGTTCTGCTCCTCACATCCTGCTTTTTCTCACTTGCTGTGCTGAAGGAGAGTTAAAAGCAGGAGCATAGTCTTACTTAGAGCTGATTAAGAACGCTCGGTGAGATGGATAGGCGCAGTGGCTGCCAACAATGGGCTGAAACAAGGCAAGGATGGTGAAGATGGTGCAGAACCAGGCAGTGTTCTGTTCCCTTGTACATAGGGTTGCTATGAGTTGGAACTGACTCGACGGTGCCTAACAACAGAAGGATGCTTTTTCAGAGAAGTCATGTTGTCTGAGTTTTCTGTTATGTTAAAAAGTAGGTTTTGTGTTTTGCAGGGGATAATCTTGGCCAGCAGTACAACAGCCCGCAAGAAGTTATCGGCAAACAAGGTTCTGATGTCATCATTGTGGGCCGAGGCATTTTAACAGCACCTAATCGTCTGGAAGCAGCTGAGTTGTACAGAAAAGCTGCTTGGGAAGCTTATTTGAGTAGACTTGGCATGTGAGTGCCTCAGATGCATTGTTGTAAAGGCCTTGAAGATACCAAGGTTCCTGAAGTTCACTGTCTTGAAATTAGCACCCTTTTATACTGCTTGGATTCATCCACAGGGCTTGCGTTAATGGTTTCTAGAGTTAACATTTTTAGAGTTAATGTTTTTTTTATTTGATAACAGTATTTTTTTATTGTGCTTTAGGTTAAAGTTTACAGAGCAGATTAGTTTCTTATTAAACAGTGCACAGGTCATTTGTTGACAGTGGTTGGCGTGAACATGGCCTTAAGGAAACACTGGGTTTGTAGGACTGGCCTGTTACTGTCATGCTTTCATTTTCCAGTTCTCCTTTATCGAGACTGATGTTTGTCAGACACCACAGCCACAGTCCTGCCTGTCCTAGGGTCTTCCGCCCGCCTCCTTTCTCTAGATCAGGCTCCTTTTTTATTTTAACTGCCCCGAGATAAAATTTTAGGACATCAGAAAGCTGAAACTGTGTCTTGTGTCCTTTATTCTCTGTTTAAATAGTAGCTGCTCTCCTCCTCTTCCTTCTGTTTAAAAGCGATAGTCCAGGTGCCCAAATGGTCCTGGTTCCCAGAGCTGCCATGTCCCATGCACCAAAGGGAGCGGCGGGGAAGGGGGAAGACGACTAGCTTGGCCCCTGACACGCATATCTGGCTCTTGCTTCAGCAGATGGGAAGGGTGTTCTGGCTCATTTCTTTCCCTAGGCAGCAACTGAGACTTGTGGTGAAACGGTCCCAGCTTCCTTTTTCCTTCCCTGGATTACCATAGTGGTGTCAAGGGCTCCAAGGTTCCATTTGGGGTTTGTTGAGAATTCCACATAGTTGTCCCAGTGTTAACAGAGAGGAGTCAGCCTTCACTAGCAGTAAAGATAAAGAACGGGCATGATGATAAATGTTTCTGGCTTCTGCCCTGGTGGGGTTGGGGACACCCAGCTTGTCTCTCCAGGGCCCCACCTTCATGTGTGGGCACAACCAGTTAGGCAGTCCTCTCACTAAATGCTAAATGCGCTTTCTCTCAGCAGTGTCTTCAAGTCTCTGGATTGATGGCCCCGTCCCTGTTTTCCTCCATTTTTATATTTCTTTGGCCTATTCAGGATCATCCTGAAGGGAGGGGAGCTAAGGGTGTGGGCTCGGTAGACAGTTTGTAATGGCCCCACTGTGCACATCCAGGCCCCGTGTGAGCAGGGCCAGGGCAGTGGTTACTTTGAAGACTCAGTTCTGATTCCACCAAGAACACTCATTCTGCCCTTGCTTTCTCATCTGGATCTCACTGGCGGCAGCTGCAGACAGCTCAGAGGACCCGCGGGTCAGCTGTGTCCACCCCTAACTGCTCCACTCTTCCCTCGTGGCTCAGCATGGGAGTCCACTAGTGTTTACTGCAATTCCTCTTGGATAGAAACTCTCAAGTTCAGTTTGGGCTTCAGATCCCGAGCATCGCACCTCCAGAGAAATCCCTTCTGTGGGAAAGGGACAAATGATCAAGGAATAAGGTGTAAAAATGGTGTGGAGGTAGTGTCCGACCTAACTTCACGAGGGGGAGGGAGAATCAAGATGAACAGCCCAAGGCTGATTCCTATAAGGGGGAGGTCAGGCATGCCTCCTCTCTCCACCATCTTTACCAACTCTGACGCCAGCCGCCCCTTCCACGGCACTCTACTTCTCTGCTGGGTTCAATAATTGATTGCAGTGGCCACACAGAACTCACGATACGATTATGGGGTTTATTAGGGAAGTAACAGGTTACAGTTCAGGTTCAAGAATGCTCAGGATATAGTTCTTCCGTCAGGAAAGCCTCTTCCCAGCCGTGCTTACAGGCACGCCTCTCTGGTTCTCGCCCTCTGCCCTGCTCAGGCAAGTGTTACAAAGTTCTTCTAGCTCTGCCAATAAGTGCCCAGAGGCACCGCACTCCGCCAATAAGCCCCATACCAAAGGCACTCAGCTTCCTTGCTCCGTGGGCTGGGGAAGCCCCCCACGCCGTCTCCTGCGGCTCTCCTGTCAGTCTCCTGCTTCTGCTGCCTCTGCTGCTACTTCTTGCTGTGTTGCTGTCTTCCGTGTTACAGCTCTCTAGCTTCTGGGTCTAGGAGAGACTCCACACAGATCCCAGGTTCTGCGTCTTCTTCCTCGGGGGTGATGGCATCCTCTCTTGCCTCTGGGATGGCTCATTTCAAGCCCAGCAGATGGCAAAACTGACCAGTCCCCTTGGGCCATGATTACCCTATTTGCATCGTCCCGCCCAATCACCTGGGTGGGAGTTACAAGACCATGGAGATCCATCACACTGCAAAAGGCCAGAAGGAAAAGGAAGAGGTGTGGCCCTCGAGGCAACTCCAAAGAAGTAGAAGTTATGAAAAAAGGATTTTTTAATTAAAAATGTGGAGGCAGTTCTTGGTAGTCTCAGTGCCTAAGGCTGCCAGACCTTTAAGGTGATGTGCTGAGGTTAAGTACCTGCTTAATTGACTTGATCAAGGTGATGTGCTGAGGTTAAGTGCCTACTTAATTGACTTGCTCCCTAGGTCAGTGGTTCTTACTTTAGCGTGTATCAGAATCACCTGGAGGGCTTGTTAAAGCAGGTTGGTGGGCCCCATGGCAGAGTTTTGCCTCTGGGTGAGTCTGGAGTGGAGCTGAGGTTTGCATTTCAGAAAGTTCCCAGGGGATGTTACTGGTGCAGGGCCCACACTTTGGAGACCCACTGCCCAATAGAGTCATATACTTGTCCCGGCAATGAGATGGCCTTGCAGTCTGCCTCCCTGCTGCTGAGGGTCACCTACTCTTGTTTTTCCTCCCTCCCTACCTGTTAGTTCCAGTTTGAACCCCCGCTGAGAATTTGCATTTCCACCCCCAGATATACTGAATCAGAATCTACATTTTAATAAGATCTCCAGGTGATTCTTATGTATAATAAATTTTGAGAACCTCTGTGCCACTAGTGGTTCTCAGAGCTGGTCCCTAACCAGCAGCATTAGCATTGCCTGGGAACTTGTTAGAAATGCAAATTCTCAGCAGGGGTTCGAACCTGAAGGAACCAGTTCAAGACCCTGCTTGCTTGTTTCCTTCCTTCCTTCCTTCATTCCTTCCTTCCCTCTCTCCCTCCCTCTCTTCTTCCCTCCCTCCCCTGCCATCTCCAGGATCATGAGCTTCAGAAAAACCACCTGGCCCCTGCCACTTAAAATGCAGATGCCAGAGATTCTGCTTCAGCAGATTTGGGGTAAGGCCTGGAAATCTGCATTTCTATGGGTAGCCCAGGTGATTTTGATGTTTCCTGTGACTGAACCCTGGCACTGCTATTGTTGCCGTCAATGCTGCAGGCCTTTTATCTAAGCAAAATCCCAGATAGTCTAAGAAATTTTCCACGTTTGCAGGAGTCACAAAATTCTGCAGCACAAATGGATTCAGACAAAGAGAAGAACTTGGGCTGTCTCAGGGGCTATGTGGCTGCTGTTCTTCAGAATGGAAATATTTGGAGGCATTAAATAGCGTCTTATTTAATACTGCTATAACAGAAATACCACAAGTGGATGGTTTTAACGAAGGAAGTTTATTTCCTCACAGTCCAAGTAGGCTAAAAGTCCAAATTCAGGGTGTCAGCTCCAGGGGAAGGCTTTTTCTCTCCATCGGCCTTCTCTTCGGCGTTCTCCTGGACTAGGAACTTGTTTGCACAGGGACCGCGGTCCAAAGGACACGCTCTGCTCCTGGCGCTGCTTTCTTGATGGTATGAGGCCCCCTGTCTCACTGCTCACTTATTTTATATCTCAAGAGATTGCCTCAGGACACAATCCAGTCTTGTAGATCAGGTCCTGCCTTACCAACACAACTGCCACCCAACCTCCCTCATTAACATCACAGAGGCAGGTTTACAACATACAGGAAAATCACCCAGTACCAGGAATCATGGCCCAGCCAAATTGATACACACATTTTTTGGGGGATATAATTCAAACCGTGACAGATAGTTTAGCCCCACACACAATCAAGGAAGATTTAGAGGGCATGAGCTGTGGGTTACAGCACCTGGTCCTGGTGGGGAAAACAGGACCAGTCTGCACAGGGTGCACAGCTGGGCAGTTCCCACCCACCAGCCACTCTACAGGAGAAAGATGTGGCCAGTCTGCTTCTGTGAAGATTACAGCCTTAGAAACCTTATGGGGCAATTCTACTTTAGCCTATAGGGTCACCATGAGTCAGTCTCAACAGCACACAACAGGTAATGGGATGGAGAACTAGCTGTAAGAATACAGCTAACGGAGTGAGAAGTCCAACCCCCAGCCTCCTCCAATACTTGGCATTTTGTAGAACAGAAGCTAAGAGGTTTTTAGTGCTGAGGGAACCTAAGGAACCAGCTGGCTCAGCTCGTTTTATCTAGGAGGTTTACGAGTGTAGACCCACAGTAGGAAAGGTCTGCTCAGTCACAGCCAGCCCCTGTCCCACACGGGCCTGGAGTCTTCCAGTCCCAATTCGTTGTACCTCACTTGATGCTGATAGGAGTTGTCTCTAGGAAAAGCGCCCTTAAGTAGCCGCTGGGGCCGTCTAAAGTTTGTTGGACAAAAGGCATGGAGGGCAAAGACAACCAACAAAATGGTTGCTGAAACCAGCACATAGGCAAGGCCTAGAAGTGTCTGCGTGGCCACAGGCTCTGCCAGGATCTCCAAAGAAGAAGACAGACGCAGGGTATTGTCTACTTTCGGGGGTGGGGAGTTGGTATCGATAGTGGGGAAGCTAAGGACTTGGAGAGCAGAGATGCTGACTAATACATTTAACCATCAGCTTCCCCAGCTCCGGCCTGCTCTCAGTGATCTCTAAAAGGAACAGCTGCTTGGATCCTATGTGAAGACGATTTCAGCACAGCTGAGCCCAACATCATTGAAAATGGCAGTGAGTAACCGCATGGACTGCGGTTTGCTGCCTCTGCCCCTTACCATGCTGTCTGAAGGAATCGGATAGTAAAAACATAAAAGCATGGGAAAAATCAGGACTCGGAATTCTTTACATTTATTTTATAATTAATGTCATTTTATTAAGAGCTATTTTTATTTTGAATTACAAGATGTGGGGGTAACTCCCCCTCCCCGCCCCGCCGTTAGCTCTTAGGGCCTTTAAAGTTTATATTCTGTTCTTGTGTGAATTATCAAGTGATCTTTTTATCCCCTGCAATCCCTTTGTTTACCCTGTAGTCCTTCTAAGTTCATACTTGGCCTTTGTGCCTCAGGAAAGGGAAGTCACAAAGTTCAAGGTTTTGGCATACCACTGGTTTGGAAGAACATTTGCCCGGTCTTCTCGCCTTCCCACCTGGGGGACAAACGGCCCCCACTGCAGTGGAGAGAGGGACAAGAGTCAGAGGGATTATGAGTTAGATCCTGGGGCAGGCTGTGATACAGGCCCTCACACCCCGAGGCTGAACCCTAGGGAAGAAGGAAAAATAGACACCCAAAATAAGTTTGGGGAACTGAAAGCAGAGATCTGTGCCTCATTTTCTAGAGGGGCCCAGGCAAGCCTGAAGGCACAGAGATTCCCCCACCCTAGTGTGGTATGGCAGCGCCAGTGGGCTCAGAAGCTATGTGTGTCGGCCAGGGCCTGTGGCAACCTGAGCTTCCTGTGGCTCCAGAGCGACGTGACGGACAAGCTGAATTTCCCTGTACACAGATCCGTGACCCTACCTCCAGTGTCAACACTGCTTTTACAGAGGGAGGATCCTGAAGTGATTGTGTTTAACAAGACATGCCAGCTCTGTTTACCTGGAACCTAGTAACAGGTTTTCTGCCATCACTTGAGTAGACACTTGAAGTAGAGATGATGTTGAATTAAAAGAAACAAGAAGTTACTTCTTATTTCTGCATAACTGAAGTCTTTGATCACCTTCCCTCCCTTTGTCCTCCTTCTTCCTCCCTCACCCCCACCATCTTGCTGCCCTCTGACCTCCCCAAGCCCCCGTTATGGTCTCCTCTCAGGCTGTAGCGTCACATCTTTCTCACTTCTATAGCCTTCTTTCCTTTTTAAACTCCCATTCCAGCCCATAAGGGGATGTCTCCCAACTTAAATGAAGCTCACAGCCCTCCTGACTTCAGCTGAAAAGATCCCCTAAACAAAGGTGCTGGGTAGGCTCAGAGGGAAATCCAACCATCCCTGGTCTGCCCGGTCTTCCCTGGGTCCTTTGCCCAGCGCCTCCACGCACACGGAGGTATTCACACAGGTGCAACGCACACAAACCTCAGCTGATGTGTGTTTTGTTCAGAATAGGGTGGTGGTTTTAATTATTTTATGGGCATGGGTCAAAACATAAAAGTCAACCAGCACAAATGTCAGCACGTACAAATATCCCAATACTGCGGGGCTAACTGAATTGGCAGGAAAAACGAGGCCGTGACCCAGTGTGTAGGTCAAACCATGTGCTCCCTCCGTGGAAAGAGGTCTTTAAAGTCCAGAATGTTCGTGACGGGAATTTGTTAGTCAGCGTCCATCTTCTATCATTTTGTTAAACAGGAAAATTCCTTCAACTCAGCCTGGGCTTTTGGTTAACACGGATGTACCAGAGATTGCGCAAATGATGGGGATGAGACAGAAAGATACAAGGAAGGAGAGACATTTTATCATTTATTAGGCTGCACACTGAGGCACTTTGTTTTTTTCTCCTAAGTAATGAGACATATACCCCAAAGCAGAAACTTAGTTGAATGGTGCCCTCATCACATGACAGAGTTCTGGGATGAAAGAGTCATGTTTTGCTCCAGAAGAAGGTATGGTGCAGAGAAGAGCACATCACACTAGAGCAGGGACCCCTGGACTTGGGAACCATTTGCCAGCCCTCACTCAGGGTGAGACGGATCTCAGCTTCCCCCTCTGTGAAATGGGGAAATAGCCTCCAGAATACCATGCAGAGATATTCTGAGGATCAGCTGAGGGGCAGAGGTTACTTATAGTCTGAGAGGTCTGCTATTTTATGGAATTAGGGCCAGTGAAGCTTTGATTGGTGGAGGCTTCCCGGGTTTTTTGTTTTTGTTTTTTAAGCCAAACTAAGATAGTAACCAGTTGCCTGACAAACAGACTCTGGACTTTCTAGTAGGCTCCCTAGGACACGGAGGGTAGAAAGTCACTCAGCATCAGAGTTGAAAGGTCCTTTAGGAATAATCTCCTCACACCCTACCATTTTAGAGTTGTGGGATTGAGGCCAAGAGAGAAAAGGGTCCTAAGCAATAAAATGAGCCAGATCCAGATCTGGGACAAGAGCCCGGGGTCCTCTTCTCCTATGTATCTTTCCAGGCCTTCTATTCAGTTTTACCCTAAATTTCAGGGCAGCTCCTCTCCTAAGCACAGAGGCTTGTGTTCCTGGGCTTTGGAGACAGAGCAGGCCGTGCTGAGCAGGCTGCTCGCTGAGGGAGGGGAGTGCTTGGACTCTGGGAGAAAAGAAGTGTCCAGGTCCCTCCATCATCCGGTTGGCCTCCTAGCTCATGACACTGAGCTGCATGAGGTCCCTGGGGCACTGATTCTCCTGCTGACACTGTAGCCCCGGGCCCTGCCCAGTGCCACAGCCACACCTGAACCATCATGTGTCACCCCTGGGCAACTGGGCAAGGCTGTAGTGACCTCCTACCCGTCCAGGTGTACGGGGCTGCATCCACGCCGCTGTCATGGTGGCCTGTTATGTCTTCCTTCCTCTTCGCCCCTTCTTAGCCTGTCACAAAGGCCATCAGCAGCCAAGTGCACAAGGCTGCCCTTCTCAGACGCAAGCCAGGATTTTATGATTCTCTTTATTTTTCCATTTTTTCCCATGCATTATTAGGAAAAATTAAGCTGTGAAGAATCAATCAATAAAAACAGTGAGTACTCTTTGAAAGTCTATATTAAAATCACCATAGTCAAGCAGCCTTCCTGTCTCTCCAACAAACAAGCACGTCCTACATCTGCTTCCACAGCAGAGGACCAGATGGGAAGGGCGTTCTTGTCTGTTATGTTATGGGGAGGAGGGGCGGCCAAACAGCGCCTAAGGAAATAAGTTTCCAAAGGTCCATTTCAGTAGAAATATTTTAAAATTATAAAATGATAATCTGGAGGCTGGGTGTTCTTGTTTACCATCCAGTCGATTTCCACTCAGACTCCATGTGACAGAGTAGAACTGCCCCATAGTGTTTTCTTGGCTGTAAGTTTTACAGAAGCAGATCTTCCTCCCGAGGAGCAGCTGGCTGGGTTTAAACCACCAACCCTTTGGTTAGCAGCCGAGTGTTTAACCATTGCAACCCCAGCTAACTGGATAATCTTTAAAAAATAAGGGAATCTCATACTGGGTCTGAATCTCAGGAGTCAGGTCTGCAAACAGCTTGTCCAAGAACTTCCAGCAGGGTGCAGCAGAGCACGTAGGCGGCTGGCACCATCAACACACTGATCTAGTTCAGGGTAAAAACAGCACAGTGGTTAAGAGCTATGGCTGCAACCAAAAGATCATCAGTTCGAATCCACCAGCCGCTCCTTGGAAACCCTGTGGGGCAGTTCTACTCTGTCCTATAGGGTCACTGTGAGTCAGAATTGACGGCAACGGTTTGGTTTTTTTTTTTTTTTAAACTTCCGTATCAGGTGGGAAGCCAGAAGTGAAGCACCCTTTAGAGTGTGGCTCAAGAATGGTGTGCTAATACCAAAACCCTGAAAAGACAAGCTGCTGACCGGGGTAATATTTTCGGAAACCACATATCCGACAAGAATCTAATAACCAAAATATATATAAAACTTCAGTAACAACAAAAAGACAAATAACCCTATCATAAAATGGGCAAGGACTTGAATAGACATTTCTCCGAAGAGGACAATCAAACGGCCACCAAACACATGAAAAGATGCTCGGCATCATCGGCCATCAGAGAGATGCAAATCAAAACCACAGTGAGATACCATTTCACTCCTGCGAGGATGACTAAGATGAACAGAAAATAACAAATGTTGGTGAGGATGTGGGGAAATTATTTCTTATCCGTTGCCGGTGGGAATGCAAATGATACAGTTGTGGAAAATTGTGGCAGATCCTCAAAACACGAAAAACAGAGCTCCCCTATGACCCAGCAATTCACTCCTAGGTATATATATCCCAAAGACTTGAAAACAGCGACTCAAAAACAGACTTGTACACCCGTGTTCACTGCAGCACTATTCACAATAGCCAAAAGGTGGAAACAACTTCAATGCCCATCGGCAGATGAGTGTGGTACCTGTATATGATGGAATTCTACTCTGCCAGGAGGAGAAATGAAGCCTTAATATACGCTACAGGATGGATGGAGCTCGAAGACATTATGCTGAGCGAAATAAGCCAGTCACAAAAGGACAAATATTGTATGACCTCACTTACATAAAAAGACAAGAAAAGGGGGGAAAAATGTAGTGCCAAGAGCTGCCTGTTAGAAAATGAACAAGTTAATCATTTGTCTCCAGGAAATCCACAGTGAAACAGGAGAAAAACTCAAAGTGTCTCCCAGAATCATTTATTTTTCTCAATTTAGAATGTCTCAAAGACACTATTTTATTCATCTAGTCTACCATTTATTTACACTGGGCTTTATTCCAAAAGTAAAGGAACCCTGGTGGTGCAGTGGTTAAGAGCTCAGCTGCTGACCAAAAGGTCGGCAGTTTGAATCCACCAAGCTGCTCCTTGGAAACTCTATGGGGCAGTTCTACTCTGTCCTAGAAGGTTGCTGTGAGTCGGAATCGACTCAGTGGCAACGGGTTTGGGTTTTTTTTTTTTTTTTTGGTTATTCCAAAAGAATTTAAGGCAGCTTCACAAGGCCACAAGGTCTTTCATTCTATTTACACAGGACAAAGGAAACCCAGAATCTGTTTGTATTTGCCCCAGGAAATAGACAGTATTTACTGATAGGCATTTGTCTTCAGTGTTTACCAAAAATGAAGGGGAATCGGGCCCAAGCTGAGAATAGATGAATTTGGAATGAAAGCCCAATAGCCTTGAAGTGATGCCAATGGCAAGCACTGA